AAAAAAATCGCTAATAAAAAATCCCGATTTTCGACTAAGAAAAAATATCGTAGTATGCCCTGAAACTTTAATAAACATTTCAAATTTTGTCCCAAGGTAGACCTTTTAGTACTTGACATTTAAAAAAAAATTATTAAAATCGGTTTACAACTTCACACTGCAGTGTGACCCATTAAAAATGGGTCACACTGCAGTATTGGATTACAGATAAAAGTCATCAATACTGTAGCAGTTCTTTGACAGAAGAAGTTGCTTCAGTCTTGATTTTAAAGATGTGTACATTTTCAGAATTTCTCATATTGTCGGGGAGTTTATTGAGTATGCAGCCCTGAAACTCAAAACTTCTTTAGGAAAGAGCAGTGCGATGTTGACTAGGTAATAATGAGTGGATATTCCGAAAAGAGTGATTGTGATAGGCTCTGTTAGCAGCTAATGTGTTTCTATTTCGATCGATCGTCGACTGAAAGTGCGCGAGCTATCAGACTTATTGTCTGAAAATTTTTGCTCAAACTCGAGCAAAAACAGTGTCGTGAAGATGTTTCAATTGAGCAGAATTCTTGCGTCGTTTCATAACCATGGATGAAACGAGGTTCCATAACTTTGCACTCAAGACAAAAGAACAATCAAAACAGTGGACTCAAAAGGGAGCACCAGCTCCAAAGAAGGCGAAGACTGTTTCATCTACAGGCAAGGTAATGGCATCGGTTTTTTGTAATGATCGCCGTATATTTTTATTGCCCATCTGAAGAAAGGTAAAACCATCAACGGCGAGTATTATGCAACGTTTGAGTAAAGAAATCGAGCAAAAAGTGCCTAATTTGGCTAAGAAAAGAGTTTTGTACTGTAACAGTTTATGCTTGAGGAACAAATTATTTGAGATGTCAAGAGATTCACTTCTAGAGGCAATTGAATTCCATTACTACCACTACCTAATGATAGTTATAGGGCTGTGATGATCCAACCTAGATGGGATATATGCAAGTGTCAGATCTCATAACGCCCAACTTTACAGACGGATCTCGTAACATCTCAAAAACCTGTTAAGTGTTTGCATTCGTGTTCGTTAGAGTTATGATAATTTCTTGAAAGAAGGTCGACTAACGAGCAACTCACCTTGATTAATTTCATCAACACACCTGAAAGGAACAGGGGTCAATTTCTGGAGAGATAACATGAAAGCTGCTGTAGCAACAGCTCTTTCTCCTCCACTCTGCACATTGGAATTCAATTCTTGTAATGGCTCCCCACTACGATAAGTAACTTTTATGCTAATTCCATACTGAGAAAAATCCTGTTCATTATCTCCAGTACACACGGATATTTCACCTGCGCATCCCATTCTTTCGAAAGCAGTAGCAAACTGCAAATTTATTTCTGAGACTAATGTTTTCAAGGGTGGCAACCACTCCTGTTTTGTCACTTCGATTTTTTCAGTTACTTTTTTCAAATTGGAGTTGAGCTTTTCAATTTCTTCAGTAATATTACCAATTTCATTGATCCTTTCTTCGTATTCCCTCATTTCATCATCGTCAGCCACGTTCAAACAGGCTATCCTCGACTGGAGCTGTTCGTTAAGCGCATTCAACTCCTGGATGTCTGATGATAAGGAATTATAGTGAGGTCGGAATTCATCGAAACCACTATCGGCCGGTGTGAAACCTTTGGACATACCTTTTGCTTTGTTGAGCATTGATTTGGCTTGACTCATCACTTCTGCGTACCGGTCTTTGACTAGACTCAACGTTTCTTCGGCTTCCTGACATTGTCTTTTATTCTCATTCAGCTGGTTTTCTAAATAAGCTATTTTCTTACGTATGTTATCAATTTTCTTTAGTGTCAGCGTACTCTTTCTCACGTGCTCTACTAACTTTGACATTTCCTTTTTAATCGTATCTTGAATGCTCGGCATACTCCTGAGAAGTTGTTTTTTCTTCAGCGACGTTTCATTTTTAATATTTTCTGGACTCTTTTTACACTGATTCATTTCTAAAAGTTTCTTTTGCAGATTTTCTACCCTCACGCTTATAGCCTGGGCGTTTTGTTTTTGCTGCTGTATGTCCTTGAGTTTTTCCCGCGCAATATTTATTTTTTCGCTGAGGGTATCGAACTGTTTTTCTAATGTTTGACAGTTTGCGTCATAATTCCCTATGTTTCTTCTGATTTCTAGTATTTCCCCTCGCAATTTATCAAGTTTGACTACATCAAGTGAGAGAGACAGTCCGCCATCTGAAAACACTTCAATTTGTCTCGTACTTTTTTCTCCAGAGTATTTAGAAAAGCTTATACTGAATCGATATTTATCACTGAAGAACTTCCTTATTTGCTGAGGCACCTGTTCATATAAATCATTAGTTGTTTGGTCACCCAAAGGAATGTCATGTAGACGATAGGTTTTGCACAAATAATGCATGATAGGATCCGGCGCAGTAAATAAATTATTAACATAAGTATAAAAACCATACTTTCTCAAACATTCAATGGCAATGGAAGGCTGAAATTTGCCTACTCCTTCGGTTGAATCCCCGGAATGAATAACATTGACAGACAAATTCTGGCTTTCTCTCAAACTTCTAATGAGCTTGTTCATATCATCCTTATAAACACAAGTGAAAGCTAAACGGTCTCGTAGCGGTATTACATTTTCAACATACTTAGCATGACGTGATTCTAGAACATTCACTTCCAACATAATTGGTTCGTAGATTTCACCACGAAAAAGATGTTTGTTATTTCTCAGCCAATTCACTGCCACGTGAGCATCTGGACTGAGTCTTTCTAGGTGCTGAAGACGACTTTGTCTTACATTCTCGATTACTATTTTCATTGATTATTTTCCAACTGTCACATGCAACATTATTGGACTTTTTTATTCTAGGGTCATTGTTCTGTTTCTGATATATTTTCACAGTCGTTTGATAATTTTTTTCATACGGCATGTTTAAAATTATCTACTTTATTAAAATTATTGGGTTTTAAACTAAATACACGGTTGTAAGTTATATTTCAAAATTTGATATGAAAATGATGAGCAGAGTCTTCGAAGAAGTGTTCTATTACCTTTTCAATGAAAGAGTAGGAGTATGATATACAGGCTGATTCACGGTGGATGGCACATTAGACGTTTCTGGTGAACCAGACAACGGATCACTTTGAAAATTTAATGGAGGGCATATTCGGACATTCTCTAGCCAACTAAAATATTTTCGACAATGCGGTGTTG